CTTTGCCGAGACTCAGGTGAGTGGGGGAAAGTGTGCAAGGACTCGCCCCTAATGCCATTCCTAATTAGCAGTCCTGGCAGCAGCTGCTGGACGCAGCGCAGTTTTAATTAATTTAAAGTTTGCCTTAATGACATTATAACTTTGCATCAAAGGAGCTGAAGGGGGGGAAAAGGGAGGAGGAGCAGCATCAGGAGCAGCAGGAGAAGGACATTAATTCTGAGAGAGAGGGAGAGAGAGAGAAATCTCTTTGGCTGGATTCGTAATGCGTTTAATTGCAGCACTCGAACCTGTCCAGCTGCGGTCACCGCCAGACACTCGGCTGTCGTCCTGCTGCTCCTCCTTTCCCTTTTCCCATTAGTCCTGCTCCCAGAAACCTTTTCCCCACCTGCAGTAAAAGTTTTCCCCTGCTGAATAGTCACATAAAGAGGCCATGGTAAAGTTTAACAAAGGTCACAACAAAGCACAAAAAAAAAGGGGTGTCAAAGGAAAAAATAAAGTAAAGTTGTAAATAATATACAGTGTAATCTAAGAAAGGCCAGAAAAATGTAGCAAATAAAGGGTATAATTAGGCGTTTTGTGGAAAAGTTACAAGATCTTGAAGATTAAATATGAAGCTCTTGGAAAGTTGCAACAGAAATGCAGATTATACAGAAGATGTATTAGAAATATTTCATAGAGACTCTTAACTTAAACTTTAGCTAATATTTTGTTGCTTTCCTCTCCTCCCAGATTGTCCAAGAATCCATCCAGATACCTGGCTCGGATCTGCATCTCACCTATCAATCCTCGCAGGCCAGCGGCTACCTGAGCATCGTCCGAATGCGTCTCACAGCGGAAACCATACCGCCCACCCTCACCCATGTCCATGTGGGCGTGGAGATCGAGGGAGCACTCCATGTGAAGACCTACGAGGCGGATCCCAGTCTGGTGCACACATTCGCCTGGAACAAGCGCAATGTGTACCGCCAGAAGGTATATGGTGTGACTGTGGCAAGGATCTCGGTGGGATATCAGCACAGCACTTGCCAGTCGCCGGTTTGGATCGCCCAAACGGCCAAGTTGCAGGGCTACGATGTGGACATATCCGATATTGGAGGCTGGGGCCTGGACATTCATCATCACTACAACTTCCACGAGGGCATCCTGCAGAAGGGTGACGGCAGCACGCTGCACATGAAGGAATATCCGCGGACGGTGAAGGTGGTGATGGGAACTGGTCTCCAGCGACCACTCACCTGTCCGGATTACTGCAATGGTGTGGCCAAGGATGCCAAGCTGCTGACCCCCATTGCATTGGCCACTGGCCCAGATGGCAGTCTCTATGTGGGAGACTTTAATTTGGTGCGAAGGATAACGCCCGATGGCAAGGTCTTCACCATTCTGCAGCTGAGTGCCACCCAGGTTTCGTATCAATACTATTTGGCTGTCTCCCCGGCCGATGGACACCTGTACATCTCCGATCCGGAAAGGCATCAGATTCTGCGACTGTTGCGTCTGGAGAAGGTCAAGGATCCGAGCATCAACAGTGACCCCGTGGTGGGCAGTGGCCAGCGCTGCATTCCCGGTGACGAGGGCAATTGTGGCGATGGAGGACCCGCCCTGCTCGCCCGGTTATCTCATCCCAAGGGATTGGCCATTGCCGCAGACCGTACCATGTATATAGCCGATGGCACCAATATCCGGGCCGTGGATCCCAAGGGTGTGATACACACCTTAATCGGCCATCATGGACACCACAATCACTGGAGCCCGGCCCCGTGCAGTGGCACCTTGATGGCCAACCAGGCGCAGCTCCAGTGGCCCACTGGCTTGGCTCTCAGCCCCCTGGATGGTTCGCTGCACTTCATCGACGACCGTCTGGTCCTGCGACTCACCTCCGATATGAAGATCCGCGTGGTGGCCGGCACACCGCTGCACTGCAGCAACGGTGCTGGGCAGGACGGCAGGGTCAATAAGACCGGTGCGGATAATGTTCTCGGCACCGTCCTGGCCATGGCCTTCTCACCGTTCGGGGATCTCTACATAGCGGACAGCGATTCCAGGCGAATTAACTCGATTCGTGTGGTGGATACGGCCGGGAATATGAGATATTTTGCTGGCAAACAGGAGAGCTCGGGGTGAGTAGTTGTTTGAATATTACTATTATAGGTTTAACAAAGAGAACTCGGGATAACTAAGGGATCTATGGGAGCAAGGTCTTTCGGAATGTTGAGTTATTCTGAAGTAAAGTTATACATTTCCAAACACACAATAATCCTTTGACCTAACTGGGAAATATCAATCAATAAAAAGGCGACCGTTTTCAGTGTCATTATGACACTTTTACACCCACATGTGGCGCCCGGACAGAAACCAGAGTGATATTTGATCCGACTTTTGCCGACTTATCAAAGTGCACAGAAAATAAATAATTCGACATATGTGTGTGTATAGTTTGGAATAGCCGACGCAGACTATTGCATTCTTAGTTGTTTTATGCCCTCAAATATTGACTGGCTACTGGGTCAACATGGCAGGGAATTTGGTCAGGAGGCCGCTGGCCAAAAACCAGAACCAGAACCAGAACCAGAAAGGGGAGAAATGGGATGGAATGGGAGTTGAATGGGTAAAACGGACAGGATTGACTCCACTCGGACTTGTTTATGCGCATACTTGACCCAATTAAGTGAGCTCCGGGCTATTTGCATATTGCCGAACGATATCAGCCAATTTTTCAAAATGTCTACCAAAACGACACACGGGACACACACAGAAGCAGGAGGAGGATGGGGTAGGGTAGGGTAAAATACCAGGACAAGGCTATAGATGGAGTGGAGTGTAGTGGAGTGTGGGACATAAATAATAAAAATTCAGCAAGAGAAGCACAAAATTGCCAATGCACCAAAACGGCCATAAATGTCAGGCCAACTAGGCAATGGCGCCCCCAGAGGATCTCTCTCTCTCTCTCTCTATATATATATATATATATATATATATATCCTTGTGCTCTGTGCTCCTGGAATGGAGCTATGTTAACTTTATTTGACTTTATTAACCCATTTTGAAGGCATCGAAAAACGGTGACCAGCAAATTAATTGGAATTCTCTCACATTGGGGAATTTCATTGTCTGATTTTTCATGGCCCCACCACAGTTTATACATATTATGTATATTGAGTTGTACATATGTACATCTATGTATATACTCCTCACATATGTGAATACCACGTGTGCTTGGCCACCAGAGGCACTAAAGCCATTTGCATTTTGTGCATTGATTAAAGTGGGGCATTAAGCGGAAACGGAAATGGAAACAGAAACAGGCAAGAGAACTTTCATTTACAAACGAGAAGTTTTGGGAGCAACGAGAAGGATGTTTGGGATATACTATATGTTTTTGTAAACAATGAAATGAGAAAGTTTGTAAGACCTTAAGCTAAGAGAAGTATATAATAATAAATATATTAAAAAAACTAGATGAGAAGTAGAAAGGCAAGGAGAATATATATTGAGTGAGCTGTATTTTAGCAACGATAAATATTTAGAAAACTAAGGAAAATGTTAGCTAAAAAGGAACTGCAAGTTCTCAAGGAGTTTCAGTGTTGCACAACTTAGAAGAAAGCAACACTAGTGTTGCATAGAGCTAAATAAAGCATTTAAAATGGGAATTGTGCTTTAAAAACCTGTTATGTTTAACTAACAACTTGACTAAAAAATATAAAAATAAATCCATTTAAAAGCTCAAACTCAGCCAGGACTAACTCCATATAAAACCCCATGTAAGACTCCACACTCATACACAAAAAATTATCATTTACCGTGAACATTTACGAGCCCCCCGGCTGCTGCTGCTTCTGCTTGTAGCTCGCAAATTTTCGGACTAAACCAATTAATTTGGTTCGCTGAGTGGCGCCAACAGAAACACACAAATACACAGAGAGAAAAAAAGGGAGAGAAACAAGATGAGATGACCAGGAAACCCCTATAAACACACAAACTATGTTATGTTGTAGTTTGGGGCTGAAACGAGGAGCAGTTGATTTAAGCAAATAGAATTTGCAGAGAGTAGAAGGTGGGAGACCGGCCATGTGACTGGCGTCAGGTGCTGGCCAAGGGGGGCTCAATGGGGTTAAGTCGCAGATAGAGGGGTTAAAGGTTGAGGTGGGCGTGGCCGGCAGACGTGGCAAAGTAATTAGCGGCCGTCGCGCCACAGACAGAAACTATAAATCAACTTTTCACTCTTTTTTCTCCGCCCCCACCTCAGTCTGTCCCTTCCTTATTTCTTTCCCTTCTTCGTTCATTTTGCACCCCCTTTAGCGTCTTTTGTGGAGCCATATCTCGCATTTTGCACAGTGTCGGGTCGGGTTGCAGAGGCGACGGCGGGGGTGGAAAGGGTTAAGAAAAAAAAAGAGGAGTTAATGGCGGAAAAGGTGGTACAAGGGTGTCCGTATCCGTGTCTGTTGCGTGGGCGTGGCAGCGATAAGCGGCGCCCGGAGTTCGCTTTACTTTAGACTGTTTATCGAACAAACAATGTCATCATAAATATGCGTCTCGAGCAGAAAACCCAGTAAAGTCCTAGAATGAGCACGGGTGCGGCCAGAGATAGCGAAGGCACTAAGGGAGGGGGGACTCCTTTTTGAGGGATATCAGTAACGAGCCTAGCAAAGCAGGAGCTGCTAGCTAAAGCTATTGGGTAACACCAGTTTTCTATCAATTTTCAAAACTTGAAGAACTCTTGGCTAAAAGATTTCCCAAGTAAAACATATAAATAACCACTAATTTCCCTCTCGCTTTTTTTGTCAATTTCCAGTTCCCAGACCTGCGAATGTGCCATTGGGGGCGGCAGCAATGGCAGCACTGCCTCTGCCGGCGTGGGCGTGGCCAGTGGCGGTGCCTATTCCACAACGGTTAATCCCACGCGGCCCAATGGCGGCACCACGCCCACCACACCAGCAGGCGGAAACGGAAGCGGAAACGGAAACGGAAATGGCAACGCTTCGTCGGCGGGCGCATCAAGCGGCGCCGCCGGTGGTGGTGGTTCCAGTGGCTCCAATGGCGGCGCCTGCATCTGTGCCGGTGGCATTGCCCTCGGTGCCTCGGGTTCTGGCACAAGTTCGGGCAACGGTAACGGAGGCGGTGGCACCTTGGCCAGCATCGTGGGTGGCGGTGGTCTAATGTCCACGGACCCACCACAACCACCACTGTGCTCCTGGGCGCCAAGACAACGGCGGCGGGCATCGGTGGCGGAGCGGCCACCTTGAACGATGATGGAACACTGAGCAATGCGGAGACACTGCTCTCCTCGAATGCCCGATTCCAGGCCATATCCGCCATTGCGGTGGCCCAGGATGGTGTTATCAATGTGGCAGATCAGGGTGAGTACAGAACATTATTCATTTATTTATTATAGAGTATACTATCAAGAGTAGAAATATCTTTAAAATGTCATGGGTTATAGGTTTGTTAAAGTTTTATTAAAAAGAAACTCGTTAAAACGAGAAAGGAAACTAACTTTCGGAAGACATAGCTTATATACTTTTAGCAGTTTGTAAGTGTGATAAAGGATTGTATTGGAAATCAAACATTATATTCGCCTTCTTTGAATCGATATTTTTATATGGCAATTTGAGAAATCAAAGTTTAAAAAGCCAAAAAAATAAGGTTATTTTTATTTATTCCATATTCAATATTTTTATATGACAAATCAAAGTTTACAAATTTCATAACTAAGCCAAAACTGCATTTATTTCAATTCGGAAAGCTGTTCTGTGCTAGTTTTTGAATAGTTAACAAAACTGCATACTGAGTTTTAAAATTAAAAGAATTTTAAAATTTGTCAAATTTTGCAACTTTAACAATATTAATATTTTGACATAAAATTTCGAACAAAAATTAAAAAAAAATATTTTTTCACCAAACATAGCTAGATCGATTCGGCTGTTAATGCTGATGAAGAATATATACGATTTATAGGGTCGCAAATTACTATTTCAAGCGTTACAAGCTTTTGACCAAAATTACAATACCGATATTTATAGATATTTTTGTATGACCATTTTTTTGAAATATCTAATTTTAAAAAATTCATAACTAAGCCAAAAATTCATCAATTTTAATTCGGAAATCTGTTCTGTGCTAGTTTTTATAGGGTTAATTAATCCGCATATTTAGATATCAAGTTTTACAAAATTTAAAATTTCTCAATTTTTGACCATTTAACAATATCAAATTTAAGCACAAAATTAAACAAAAAATTTCTAAAATTTTTTTCTTCCAAGCATGGCTAAATCGATTCGGCTTTTTGTGCTGATCAAGAATATATATGATTTATAGGGTCGCAAATGACTCCTTCACTTAGATTCAAGCTTCTGACTGAGATTATAATAACCTTCAGGGGTATAAAAATGTATAATTAAATTAATTAAGAGTAAGAAACACAAGTAATTAAGCTCAATTCGGCACGCCGCAGTTTGTATACTCTTGCAGATTGAAATTCGATCACTTGGAATTAATACAATATAATATATATATCTTTATTATAAAAAAAACAATGAAGTAATGGCTGCTTTCATTTCATTCACTCTATTTTTCTTTATTTTGAACGATCGATTGTATGGCAGCTATATGATAAAGTAGTCTGATTTTCATAAAATTTTACACGAAATTCTAGATTAATATATAATGGCTATATATTAAAATTGATGAAAATCTGTTGAAAACTAGAAAAGTTATAATTTGTTTCCTTAAAATGTTCCGATCGTTCCTATGGCAGATATATATATGTATATATATAGTCCACCGATTCGCCATGCTCCGATTTATATACTAGTATAATTATATATAAGAATAACTCCATAGTTTCATTGAAATACCTTAAATTTGTTCCCAAACAAATCTTGCACGTCTGTACTTATGATTCCCAACTGGTTCAAACATCCCCGGAACGAAGTGACTGCTGCTGGCCACGTCTCAGACATGTGTTGTGTTACAAAAGTTGCAAGTCATTGTTTACAAGTGTTCAAAGTTAGTAACTGGTCATACATAATTACTTACTGGTCATAGATACTTCCTGATCATAATTAGTTACTTATTATATTTACTTACTATTCATATTTACTTAGTGGTAATTGATACTCATTGATCATAGTTACTTACTGGTCATAGATACTTACTGTTCAGAGTTACTCACTGCTTGTAGTTAATAACTGGTCATAGCTAATCACTGATCATAGTTCTATAAATCGTCCGATTGTTCCTATGGCAACTATATATATGTGTATATATAGTCCGCCGATTCGCCGTGCTCCGACTTATATACTAGTAAAATTATATAGAAGATTAACTCCATAGTTTCATTCAAATAGCTTTCAATTTGTTCCCAAACAAATCTTGCACGTCTGTACTTATGATTCCCAACTGGTTCAAACATCCCCGGAACGAAGTGACTGCTGCTGGCCACGTCTCAGACATGTGTTGTGTTACAAAAGTTGCAAGTCATTGTTTACAAGTGTTCAAAGTTAGTAACTGGTCATACATAATTACTTACTGGTCATAGATACTTCCTGATCATAATTAGTTACTTATTATATTTACTTACTGTTCATATTTACTTAGTTGTAATTGATACTCATTGATCATAGTTACTTACTGGTCATAGATACTTACTGTTCAGAATTAATTACTGGTCATAGTTAATCACTAATCATAGTTCTATAAATCGTCCGATTGTTCCTATGTCAGCTATATATGTGTCTATATAGTCCAACAATTCGTCATGCTCCGACTTTTATACCAGTAAAATTATATAGAACAATAACTCCATAGTTTCATTCAAATAGCTTAAGTTTGTTCCAAAACAAATATCTCACTTCTGTGCATATAATTCTCAACTGGTTCTGACATCCCCGGAACGATGTGTCTTCTACCGGCCACGTCTCAGGAATGTGTTGTTACAAAAGTTGCAAGTCATTGTTTATTAGTGTTCAAAGTTAGTAACTGATCATACATACATTCATAGTGATCATAGGTACTTACTGCTCATATGTACTTACTGGTCATAGATACTTACTGATTATAGATACTCACTGCTCATAGTTAATTATTCTTGAAGGATTTTTATACAAAAGATATATAGTTTTACATAAGAAATATATTCCCAAACCATTTGGTGGTCCTGCCAGTATCCTGACAACAACTGCCATTCGATACAGCAAATTTGTCATCATCTCCTGTTGTGTATTTATATATATTTATATATGTATATGTGTGTGGCAATTTGCTTTTGTAGTGAACACACACACTCAGGGCACAACAATCGCATGGAAAATGGAACATTTCCTTTGGCAAATTTTCTTCAACTCGCACTCGCACTTCTTTCCCATTTTCCGCATTTCGCATTGTTGCTCTGTGTTAACAAGCGGCGAAGGGAGCACAGAAATAAAATACGAAAATAAATAAATAAAATAGAAAATGTTAACTGCTGGTAGAAAAAATAAAGGAAGAAAGAAGGGAAAAATACGAAACCGGAAGTTAAATTTCGACATATTGCAAAACACAACCACAGCAAATACAATAATAATAATAATGACAACAACAGAAAAGGCAGCGGAAATACAGGAAAAGTTCGGTAAAGAAAACTTAAACAGAAATGTAGCTGGCAAAGATTATTATTAATATTAAGAAATATAATTTGAAAAGGTTTAAATATGGGAATGTGTTAAAAATATTTATTTATATGGCACTTAATTAGGTTTCAAATATTTAATTTCTGCAACCTCAGAGAGTTTGTTAAACATTTCTCTTCATTTTTTAAAGTCTTAAATATAGTTTTTGATTTTCTGGAACTTATTCAACAATTTCTTTTTCCATTTCTTAGCTGAAAAGCTAAGCAAACACAAAGGCAGGGTTCACTTTACAGAGCCTTCACTGTGACAACAAAGTTGAACAATGGAACAAGCTGTTGAAGGAACAAGCAATTGTTGTTGTAATTGGCCATTACGGGCGGGAAAACTCTCTGTTTGTGTGTGTGTGTGTGTGTGGGTGGATGTGTGTGTCGGAAAAGTGGGGAGGGAGACAGCGGATGGGGAAAGAGGAGAGGAGTTGGAGGAGGTAGAGGAAAAGGAAAAGAGCGAAACCAATTTCCGTTACAATTCGAACGAGGACAAATTAGGAGCCACTCGCACACACACACTCACACACACACACACACACACACACACCCACACACACACACACACCAGGTAGAAGTGCTGAAGAAACACAAAACAAAATGGCCGCCAATAAATTGTGTAAAAGCAAAAGCTCAAAAAGCACGGAAGGTATAAATTTGAGTGCATTAGCAGAGCGTAATTTGATAAGACCAAAAACGTAATTAATAAATTTCCACAACGTGGCAGAGAGAGAGAGCGAGAGAGAGTGAGTGAGCGAGGGGATGGATGGGCAAAGGGGTGGATTTTCCGATGGATTTTCGGTTTGGGATTTTTTCCGAAAGGAGTGGAGGAAGGAGGAGGCATTCATCGTCCTTTTTTGGATCATCAGAGAGGCCGCTGGCCGCCCACAGGCAGCTCGCAGCGCAGAAATTAATGAAAAGGACGCCAGGATATGGAGAGAGTGAGAGATGAAGCCGTGGAAAGCAAATCAATGGCCATAATTAATCAAGTTTTAGTCTGTGCGTCGCGGGGGTGGCACACGTGTGACTGATTGCCCAAAAACACTCGAAGAAATCTAAATATTTAATCAAAGAAATCATCAAGAATTTCCCTCATGGATTAAATCTTCAGTTTGATCTATTTCCAAGCTCTTAAAGTTCTTAAGAAACTGTAAGATTTCTGGGAAATCTAATTTCCCATCTATCAAGTTCTCTGTTTCCTTTTTTCCCACAGTGTAAGTGTTAGTGTGAAAAGCGAAAAAGTGAAAATCAATCTTATTACCTACGCGGCATCTAGAATTGCCAGAACTTTTGCTCCGCCCCCTTCCCAAAAGGAAAAACCCGGGAAAAAGGGAAAGGAAAATGGTATACCTCCCTCCCTCCCCCTTTCAATACATTAATCACGGCTATAGGTGTGTGTGTGTGTGTGTGTGTGTGTGTGTGTGTGTGTGTGTGAGTAGACAAGACACATACAAATGCAAGAAGGCCAAAAGAAACAGAACAAAAAAAAAATAAAACGAAACGTAAATAAGCTTCATTAGCAGCTCGCCAACCTTAAGTGGCCTTCTCTCCATCCATTCCAGAGAGTGTGTGTGAAAAATTATTGCATTAATTGCTACGCGAGGAAAAAGAACAAAAGAAAAGCTAAAATATCCACAAGAAAAGAATGAGGAAATTATCTAAAATTAGCTAATAAATTAAGAGTTGGAGAGTATACCAAGAAGGGATTTATAATTGAGAACATATTCCAAGGATATTCCTAACAAATGGTTGTTATTACATTAAATATATTTAGTATGAAATACTTATAAAATCCCCAAAACCATTTTAATCCACTCAAAACCCACTTTGTCTTTGTTTGAGCCTTTTTCTTTATTTGATTTGATTTCAAATCCTTATATCATCACTTGGCATATATACATATAAGAAGGATCCAAGCAGGACCCCTTTCCGATTCCGATTCCGATTCCAAAGTCTCTCCATCGATATCAATTTCGCTAGCGATTTGGACATATGCCAGCTAGCCATGACGACGACACGACTGTTTAAAGCTCAAAGGACAATTGCAGGACAAGGATCCCACCAAGTGTGGGAAGGACGAGGTGCTCTCCTCCTTCTCCTCTCGCAGCAAACATTCGGCGACACAATGGCAACAACCCTTTGCACTGGGCACAAACAAGTTGTTCAGTTTATGGGGTCATTACCATTACATTACATTACAGCCACCCGCACACACACTCTTAGGAGGGGTGTGTGTGTGTGTAGAGTGTGTGTGTGCGGAGGCGGTGGCCAACCTCCAGCTGAGCGTCACACATTTATTGCATTGAAATTCGCTCAATCGCTGGCCTGGCGCCCTGCCAATTCGAATGCCAATGCCCCAGCTTCCAGTTTGAGAGAAACCCAAGGCCCCTACACTAAGAGAAATATATCACAGAATTTGGTTCATAAATTTGCTATATTTTATGGGAATATTTCACATAGGGTATAGGAAATGAGTTAAAATTGATATTTAGCATTTACAAGTTGTTGCAAAATGGTTATTAAAGTGAGAGCCAACCAATAAACACCAGAAAGTGAATTGTAAAGAGTGAATACTAGAAAAATGAATACTTGGGGATGATAACAAGCAAATTAATGAAATTAATAAATTAAATTAAATATCAATGGAAATAAATACAACAAATAATATCAAGGCAATGAAAATACCAAAATTAAGGCAAGAAAATGAATAATTAGAAGGTCATTTAAAGAGCGCATTAAAATTAGTACAAGAAAATGAATAGCAGAGAATGTTTTATTCTTTCATTATCATTATCATTATTATTATAAATAATAACAATACGGAGGAAGGAATAACTACAGAAATTATAAGGAAATGAATAGAAAGCCATTGCCTTTAAAGAAACACAAGAAGAATTAAATAATTAGGAATTGATTCCACCAAAATGAACCCAAATGAATAGCTTTTCTCTCTCAGTGCATCAGCGAAAAACCCGAAACCCAAATGCTCCTCTAAAATGAGACCATAATGGCTTACGCTCCAACTACCGAGGGTCCTGTTGTGTGTATGAGTGTGTGTGTGTGGGTTGACTAAAGAAAGGGGGAAAGGGAAAAGTGGGGATTTTTGGAGAATGGAAATTGCTGAGAATGGTGGCAGTGGTGGTTCTAGGGTGTAGGTCCTGATGTGGGCGGGAAATGTGTCTCCTGGTCTCGCGACTCGTATCCTTGCTGGGTCCTCGGTCCTCGGTCGCCGGGTAAATGAACTGTAACGCAATCAAATCAACACTGGCCGCACAGCAACCCAAATAAGGACTAAAGCCCGCCATGTATTTAATATTTTTCTTTTTATTGTGATATGTGCGAAAGAGAGAGAGAGAGAGAGAGAGAGAGAGAGAGGGAGGGAGCAGCCAGGACAACTGGCACACCCATGATTCGCAATCAGCGGTGAATTGTTGCATACAATAATTGTGTGAAATTGATGTTTATGATGGCCAGAAGAAGACCAAGACCGCCTCGCAGTGTGTGGCTGCCAAAGGATCATCATAAACAGAGGTTGTGGGAGGGCTGAATTATGGAATGAATGGAGACCTTTTGGGGCACTTGCAGAACCCCTAACTTGTGGGCGATAGTTTGCACTGGTTTTGCCTGGAAAATCAAAGAAGAATAGTTGTTAATTTAAGGAGTATATAATTATAATTATATATTTGTTTGGCTTTTTCTTCTATGAAAGGAGATACTTATGTCTAGGAATATCCTTTATTATATTTCTACCCTTGCAAGGGTATTATGTTTGCATTCAGAAGCTAATCATTATTATATCATTATTGATTTATTACTTCTCTAAATACATGTAGTTTTTTACTTATTTACCATTTTTGAAAAGAATTTCATAAGCAGAAAAAATGTAGCTCTCTTTTTGGGGCACTCTGAGTGACCGCAAGTTGTGTGCGGCATTTATGGCTGCTGTAACTGTGTAGTTGCAAGAGCAAATGATGTAAAGTTAATGTGTTACCCTAGTTTACACACTCACACACACCTCCCCCTCTCCGCTCCCCCTCCGCCTTCGCCACTTAGTTTCTCACACAAAAACGTTGTCATCATCATCATCGCCTTTTGTTGCTGTCTGTTTGCAATGCAAAGCCTGAAGGGCTGTCCCGGGATGAGAGGTGTTGAAATAAAACTAAAGAGGGTAGTCCCAAGGAGACGGGAGGGAATGGGGAGGAGTCAACGGCAGGGCAAATTTATGCAAATCCAAAGCGATTTTCAACACTAACTAAAATGAAACGAGCAAGGGAGAGAGCCACCACCAGAAGAAGCAAATTGCACAAAAATACTTAAGACACTCGAAGGAGCGTACATACACACATAGAGCAGACCAACGTCATTTGTATTTGTGCATTTGCAGTGATTCAAAACTTGAAGCGTTTATTATCGTGGTGTTGCAAGGAGCTGTGCAGGGGGAAAATGCAGAGTACAGCCCCTCTCGAAGGAGGTACTAAAAACAAACAGCTGCAGGAACTTGGCGTTTAGCTTAAGCAAATGATCAACAAACCGAAAAAGAAGAGCTGACTATATACACATTCAAATATATATATATGATGGCAAAAGTTGTTGTTCTTGTTGTTGCGAGGAAGTGCGAATAAATTTGATGACCAGTTAAAAGGAATTGTCCAAGGAGTGCGCCCGGAATGAATAAATGAGTCAATTATCCTTCCAAGGACAACGAGTGTCCATCTTTACGGACTTCTTTACGGCTTTAAGGAGGAAATGATGGCGATCAGCGAAGGGGGGAGTAGGATAGGAAAGAAAGGTAATCAAATGCACCGAAAAAACGAAAGCTTTTCCAGCGGCCACCCATTAAGCATTAAGCAGTAAATAAAGTTGATAAGCTTCTCCCTGTGAGTTCTTCTGTACTATGTGTTACTAAGGGTGTAAAAAACTTAGCTCCCAGTGTTGTTTACAGTCCAAAGGATATTAAAAATGTTACAAGATGCTTTCTGGACAGCAGCTTGATACCTTTTTCTTTTTGCTCAATTCATTTTTAAGACAAAGAATTAAACACTAGAAAATGAATACTAAGAAAAGAACATAGGTATACATTAAATGAATATGAATTATTATGAAGAAGAAAGATGGAATATGTCAGATTGAATATATACCAAATAGATAATAGATTGAAGAACAAAGCTCTAAAATGAGCTCAAGAAAATGAATTCCAGAGACAGAGTTTTACATTTTCCACTCTCCACTTTTGGATACATTTATCCACAAATATATTATAATTACAAATTTAAGCTGTCTTCCAAATAACTTAAATAATAATTCCCCATTTCCATTACTTTCTTTCCAGGATCCTTGCATGTTTTGGCCTTGGAGCATTATTTACCCTCGCATGACGAGAACGGCGAATTCCACATACCCTTCCCGCCTTCCAGCGAGATCTACGTCTTCAATAGGTACGGTCAGCATGTGGCCACCAAGGACTTGACCTCGGGCAAGACCCGCTACAGTTTCCTGTACTCGAAGAACACCAGCTTTGGCCGCCTGTCCACGGTGACGGATGCCTCCGGGAATAAGATCCAGTTCCTGCGCGACTACAGCAATGTGGTGAGTTCCATTGAGAATACGCAGGACCACAAGTCGGAGATCCAGATCAATGGCATCGGCATCATGACCAAGCTGAGCGAGAAGGGTCGCCAGGAGATCGAGCTGGACTACGATAGCAACACGGGTCTGCTCAATTCTCGCTCCTCGGGTGGCGAGACGTACATCTATCAGTACGATGAGTTTGGCCGTGTCACCGGAATGATCCTGCCCAGCGGCGAGATTGTGAGGATCACCTCCCAGCTGGCGGATAGCCAGGGACTGACTGTGTACGTGCATGCCTCCGTGGAGTCACTGTTCTCGCGGGAACGCATCTCGGGCGAAGCCAACGAGCTGCTGGTCCTTGGCGGCGTTAGATCCACCTTCCTGAAGCGTGGACAGGCCCATGCGGATGCGGAACTCAAGGCAAACAACACCCTGGTTATCCATGGAGACAATGGTGTCGTGGTGGAGGCCTCAGCCGTGGCCCGACATCCGCTCCTGGAGGCCGCTCTGCCCGTGGAGGCCGAGATGCTGGCCATGTGGTCACACCAGAGCGTCACCATGGCGAGGGGCTGACCAACTCGATGTATTCGGTGTACAGTCTGGTGGGAGATGTGCGCAATCCGCAGCAGACGCTGAACCGCGAGATCTGGGTGAACCAGTCGCGGGTGATCGGCGTGGAGTTCGATCAGTTCACCAATCGGGAGACCTTCTACGACGCCCGTCGCACTCCCATCCTGATTGTGGCCTACGATCAGTCGGGTCTGCCCAAGTCCTACTATCCGACGAACGGATACCCCGTGAACATCACCTATGACCGCTTCAACCGCGTCGAAGGCTGGGCCTGGGGTCCAGCGGAGCTCAAGTACAGCTACGACAGGCATGGATTGCTCTCGGAGATTACCTCGCAGCAGGACGGGATCGTGTCCTTTGTGTACAATGACTGGAATCTAGTCTCGGAGATTGGCTTGGCCAGCCAGCGGAAGTTTGTGCTCCAGTACGATGATGCCGGCGGACTGAGGCATGTGGTCCTGCCCTCCGGCACACGGCACAGCTTCAGCATGCAGACCTCGATCGGGTTCATCCGGTGCACATACACGCCGCCTGGCAGCACCAGGGCCTACCTGCAGCACTACAGCCATGCGGGTGCCCTGCTCCAGACCATCCTGCCGGGCGACGGAGCCCGGATCGTGTATCGCTACAATGCCGCCGGCCAGCTGACGGAAGTGGTGCATGGCGATGGAAGGAGCGAGTTCCAGTACAACGAGGCCACCGGAATGCCCAGCACAGTGTCGCACACGGAGCGGGAGCTGGAGTACCGCTGGGACTTTGAGTATGCCGCCGGTCTGCTGGCCGAGGAGCGGATCGACTATGTGGCCAAGACGGGGCTGAGCAATGCCAAGTTTAGCTACGAGTACGACTCGCAGCTGCGAGTGGTGACCCTGCAGGGCAGGATTGGTGGCCAGAGTCTGCCCTCGCAGGCCTTTGCCTATGATCCGCGAACGGGAAGACCGAGCCTCATTGGCCAGTTCCGGTACTCGCAGCTGGCCCAGAACCAGACGCAGCTGCATGACGGCACCGCTAGCTTCACACGGACCGTGGACGGTCGATTCCAGACGCAGCGCATGGCCCTGGCCATCCATCGACTGGAGGTGTTCCGCATGGAGTTCTCCTATGGCGTGCATGGCAGGATATCGCAGACGAGGACCTACACACGCAACATGGCGGTCAATAGCTACACGAATGTGAAGAACTACACCTGGGACTGCGATGGGCAGCTGGTGGGCGTGGAGGCGCAGGAGCCGTGGGGATTCCGGTACGATGACAATGGCAACCTGCTCTCGCTAACCTACCGGGGCAACACCATACCCATGGAGTACAATGCCCAGGACAGGATCGTCAAGTTCGGTGAGGGCAGTACAAGTACGATGCCCGCGGTTTGGTGGCTCAGAATGCGCGCGAGGAGCGCTTCCACTACAACACCCAGGGACTGCTGGTGCGTGCCTCGAAGAGGGGTCGCTTCGATGTCCGCTACTACTATGATCATCTCAAGCGGCTGACCACGCGCAAGGATAATTTCGGTAATGTCACCCAGTTTTTCTACACGAACCAGCAGCGCCCCTACGAGGTCAGCCAGATCTATTCGCCGCGCGACGGTAAGCTCATGTCGCTGACCTACGACGATGTGGGTCACCTCATCTACGCCCAGGTGTACCGGCACAAGTACTACGTGGCCACGGATCAGAGTGGCACTCCGTTGATGCTCTTCAATCAGTATGGCGAAGGAATACGCGAGATTATGCGCTCCCCCTTCGGTCACATTGTATACGACTCGAATCCGTATCTGTATCTGCCCATTGATTTCTGCGGCGGCATCCTGGATCAGGTCACCACGTTGGTCCACATGGGAGATGGAAGGGTGTACGATCCCCTGATTGGCCAGTGGATGTCCCCCGACTGGCAGAGAGTTGCCGAGAGGATTATAACTCCTACACGCCTTCATCTGTATCGCTTCAATGGCAATGATCCCATCAATGTGGGTCACGAGCGTCACTATCCGCAGGACTTTGCCGCCTGGATGAAGACCCTGGGCTATAATGTGGGCAATCTGGTGCCGCAACTCTCGCGGGATCTGTGGCAGCCACCGGCACTGTGGGGACGTCCGCCCACCAATCCGGTGGCTCTTAATCTCCGTCGGCCCTTTGACAATATACCCACGATGGCCGTGGAGAGTGGCTTCCTGGCGCATCTCAATGTCCGAAGGATGTCGGACTTTGAGCAACTCTCGGCGCCACCTCGCTCGGCCCTCAAGTGCGACGTGATGGATCCATCGCCGCGCTCCATAGGATCGGATACGGAACCGCCCTTTGGCAAGGGCATTGTTGTCTCACGAACGGCCGATGGACAGGCCATTGTGTCCAGTGTACCGGCTGCGAATGCCATCTACAGGGATGTCTATACGAGTGTGTTCAATCGCTCCAAGCTGCTGCCCTTCACCTTTGTGGTGCACAATGCGCAGCAGGATTCGTTCTTCTTTGTGAAGGAGGACGCCTGGCGGGCCACCGAGGATAGGCAGCAGTTGAAGCGGCTGCAGGGACAGGTGAATACCACCTTCCATGAGATCACCAGGGAGGCAACGGTGGGCACACCGGCCTCTGCCTCATCCTCCTCATCGAGTGGCAGCTCCTCGTCATCCTCGTCCTCGTCCTCCTCCTCCTCCTCCTCCTCCTCGTCGTCGTCGTCGTCGTCATCCTCCTCCTCGTCGAATACGGGCAACTACCTGGACGTGAAGATCCATGGGGCGCATGCGATCATCAATTTGCGCTATGGCACCACCGTGGCCAAGGAGCAGCAGCGTCTGATGCACCACGCGAAGCTGACGGCGGTGCGGAAGGCGTGGCACCGCGAAAAGGAGGCCTTGCGCAGCGGCCTCACCACGGCGCTGGAGTGGAGCCAGCAGGAGAGCGAGGAGATTGTGAAGCAGAGCTATGCCAATAACTACGAGGGTGAGTACATCCACGATGTGGCCCTGTATCCGGAGCTGGCGGAGGATCCCTACAACATTAAGTTTGTGAAGAAGAAGGGCGCCACCGGCGGTGCGGCGGGTGTGCCCAATTCGCGACGGCGTCGCCGTCGATCCGTCGAAGAGGAGTCCGCGGCACCGGAAGCAGCGGAGCCAGCGGAAACGGAAACGGAAACCGCCGACTGTTAGCTCACGAAACTGCAGTAAACCCGAGGTAATATTATATTAATAAACTAAACAAAGAAAGGCAAAAAGCTAGGAAGAGTCCCGAGAACCCAAGAGAAAGAGAAAGAGAAAGAGAAAGCGTAGCCGGGAGACATAATTATTTATACATATAGTACATATAGTACATCAAATCTATGTTATCGAACCAGTTTTTTGATGTCACCGTACATTACATATATATATATATATACACGTATACATAACATATTTTTTTTATTGTTAGCCACTATATATATATACGACATATATATATATATATATATATATATATAGAGAAAAGGAAGAGAAAGGCAAGAGAGCAAGCCACATGCCAACATAATCCCATGTAGCTGCATGTGCGTCATAAGTGTATATGTGTGTGTGTGTGTGACAGAATATATAGTAATACATAAAGGATAAAGGATAATGGATAAAGATAGCATAGTGTAGTAGTCATATATGAAGCATAAAGCGTACCATTTACACACAGACTCACCACAATAATGGAGAAGAATTGTAGGAGAGAATCCTGGGGGAAGAATTGTAGAGAAGAATGCAGGAGGAATGCAGAAGAAAGGCTTTTCTTTTTGCGTGGTACTCGAGCTTTTTGAGACTGGCATAGTTTTAAACATAAAAAACACAACACAACAACATAGGACACTGGACGACGGACAAAGGACGAAGGACCCTTGAAGCGCTGATCCCGCAGAGAAGCCGCTGTTAGTTCCAGGATGGCAGGCAAATAATGTACATAAAATCGAGGAGGGAGGAGAATGCAGGCGCGAGAGAGAGAGGCGGAAGCGGAAGCGGAAATGGATTCCCAAAAGGACAGCCTAGACCAAAACAGCCAACCCTCACACACTCACACTCACACATACACAGAACACAGAATGCAGGACTAAAACTACACTGGACAACCGGATATCCGAGCTATTCTGGATACTCTGTGGTTGCGGGAGATTTTTGCTTAGCGAAAGCTTTCTCTCAGTTTTGCTTTGCTTAAACAAAAAAGAAAATTCATAAGAAAACTCAACAAGAAACAAAAACAGAAAACATAAACGTAATTATAAAGATGAAACAGTTAGCGGTTAGGGAGTAAAGTGTTTTTTTTTCTATCATAATAATTATAAATAAATATATATATAAATGGATATACATTAATTATAGGGACACAACTCACACACACACACATATTGAGAATAGAAAGAGAAACCTATAGCTGTAAAGTCCTGATAGATAAGTTTAGGTTTTCGTCCTTACTTAATTAATTAATTTATTCATTATTATTGTTCGTGTGCCGAGGCAAGGGCAACACACACAATCCCAAAAATAAGTAAAAATCTAAAAAAAAAAGAAAAAGAAAGAGAAGAGGAATGATCGAATTAATTTTAATGATACATATTAATGAATACTATTACTGTATGGAATGTGAAATGTTTTGTTATTATTTGTAAGTCAGCTTCTTTCGAATCCAGCTCAATGCGGCCCACAATAAACTCACAACCCAATTAAAAAATGAAACGAATCGAACTAAATAAAGCTTAAAAAACAGTATTAAAAACAAGAACACGTAACAGAAATTAAAACGACGACGATGATGATGATGATTTCAGCCTGGAACTCGAGGGAACTCTCACAGCCATCGAGATCGTTGAGCTCAAGTCCAATTTCCGTCCGACAGACAGACAGACAGACCTTGATTGAGATTGAGATTCAGAGTGAGTCAGAGTGAGTCAGAGTGTTCCAGATTGATTCCTCAATTAGATGCCAATTAATATCGAATTTGAGTCACACACACACGCGAGTACGTAGTAGTATCCTTTTCCCCCCGAACTTCGTCGCTTCGCTTGAGAGTCCGAGTTTCACATTTGTTTTCCATGAATTGGTGCTTATCGAATTTATTGCCACAACTATATGTATGTGTAGCTGCTATATATAGTTGAGTACGACGGATATGATCGTTTCCCCTTGCCTCCCCCCTTAGGAGTAAGCGATTGCTAGAGAAACCCGTAGAAAATGAAAAAAGGAAAACAAAGATTGCTGAATTAGTTGCGAACGAGCAAGAAAACGAAATTTTATAAAAATTACCCACTCGAAACGAACCCCGACCACAAAACGAGGCCAAAACGATCGATCAGTTGGGCTAAAGAGGGAAACGATGAAAGTAGCGAACGAAGAGAGAGTAGATGAGGAGAGAGCAGTTCCGAGGAGAGAGCCAGCCAAGTAGAACGCAGCTTAGAGCAGAATGAGTGTCCGTGTGAGTGTCCCGCCCGAAGGGGGAGAGCGTGTCCGAATCGATGTCCGCCCAAGGGAGACAGTGTCCGCCCATGGGAGACAATATCCGCCTATGCAAGTGCCAGTGTCCGCTCAAGAGAGACATTTTATGCTCCAAGGAAGACAATATTCGCCTAAGCAGGTGTGATAGTGTCCGCCCAAGGGAGACGGTGTCCGCTCAAGAGAGACAGTATCCTCCCCGAGGGATATAGTGTCCGCCCAAGGGAGACAGTGTCCGCCTAAGCAAGAGTGTCAGTGTCCGTGTGCGTGCGATAGCGTTATATCAAAAAATGAAATAATGAGAGGAGAGAAAAGTAGTAGTCGCTGGCGTATCTGTGTATATACATTAAGGCTAATCAAGGTAAACTAGTGTTATATCGTATATGGCACCGTGCATCGTAATCCCTAGATATACATGCATATATCTAAATAAATATATTAACATATACGAGTATATATATATATAAAACCTAGAGGCACACACATACACTGGGGAGTGTGGGCAATTTTTTTTTGCTTTTTTTCCTCCATCGTTGTCGCGCCTAACTAGATGTAAAATAAACAAGACAAACTAACGGATATGATATATAGCATATATATATATAGAGTATATATGTAATATGTATAGGAGTATATGTGTTAGATGTACGTGTGCGGGGGTACCACTGTACTAGCCGCTCGAATTTCTCCCATCTGGTTATTGATTCGTTTCCATTTCCGTTTCGTTGATTGGCAAACCAAAAAACAATTCGAAAAAGAGCAGGAGTCAGTTACCTATTAGAATTTGGCAAGCATTAAATAAAAAACAAAAATAACTAAAAAAAACGAATAAATCGAGAAAACGAGAGAACAAGAAAATATGAAAAAACGAAAAATGAAATTGCTTCAAAAGCAAACAAAAAAAAAGATACAAAAAATGGCACACACACTAAAATTAATATTATGGAAAAAAACAACGGCTTGAAAACGGAGAAAAACCGAACCGCAGACGCAGCAACAAATATTTATATGTACATAACTGGATAAAAAAAAAACACAACAACCAAGTATTTTAGTATATTTATGTTAGAGCTACACGAAACGAACTTCAACTTAAGCCGAGGCGAAGGGGAGTAACATACACCTAAACCTAAACCTAAACTAAACTTAAAACTAAAGCTAATGTCGGGCTGGAACGGAGGCAGAGGAAATACTTAGCAAATAAAGAAACAGGGAAACAATTGAGATAAATTAACATTTAAACGTTTTGCACACCACAAACAAAATAAACAAGCTACACGAACGGGAACACAGATACAGCCACAAATACAGATACAGATACAGATACAGGATACAGATACAGATACAGATACAGATACAGATACAGATACAGATACAGATACAGATACAGATACAGATACAAATACAGATACAGATACAGCTACTGGGAAGATACACCTACAGATACAGGACCTTTACTAATACACTGACAGGACAGGACACTGACAACGCGCAAAGCAAACAACAAAATTTAGCAACAACAAGAATTTATGAGATATAATAAACAAATAAACAAAATATAATAATATAAACGAACAACAACTAAGAGGCAGCAGCACAGGCAAGTTGAAATTAAATTAAAAATAAAAACAAATGGCAAAGACAAGAAACAAAAACAGAAACAGAAGAAAAAAAGCAAAGAACAAATTATATTTATTAGACAAAATAGCAGAGACAGGGCGGAGAATGGAGGAGAGCGCGGCAACCTTAAGGATCTGTAGTATATCGAACTATGTAATTCACAAATAGTAAATAAAATAAACCGAGGCCAGACCGGGCGAGCAAACCTAAGGAATATTGTAGGGCAAATTCAAACTAAAAAACTATAAAATATAGCGCGGAAAAGGAACCCCCGTCTACCAGACACCTCCCCCTTCACCCCTTTTTTTTGTCAGTGTAAGCTTAGTGGAGAATCCGAATGGAAGTGCTAACGATAAACGATTAACGATTAACGATTAACGATAACCGCCATCTCCATGCCCCCATTCCAGTCCTTCCCCCTAGGCATATGCATATATAGTATATATATATCTAAACGGTAAATGAACAATTATATATGGCATTATATTACCACACACAGCAGAACAGTAAAAGAAATGACATCAAATAAAAGGATAATTACGATAATTATTGCAATAATGATAATGATATACCGTATATGTAATGATTTTCAGCGCGAAAACGAGAATATTTTAAGCGTATTAAGTTGAACTATATATTATATATGAAAACACATACATATATATATGTATATATATATATATATGATTATATATATCTATATATACATATATAAATGGAGAAAACAAAGTGCGATAAAAATAAACCAAAACAAAAGAAAAGAAAAAAAAAAACACACGCAACACAACTTCTGAGGATATCAAGGGTCTAAGAATAAATAAAAACTAATGAATTAATTAAAATAAATAAATGAATATGAAAACTAAATGTGAAGCCATAACCGTGTGTTTTTATTAAAGGTCTTGCATAGGTTGAGTATTTGTTAAGATTATTTCCAGCTTATAGAGCGCTCTCTCTGTAATCGAGGAATCGCCGGAGTGCAGCGGGTAAGCCTACAACCGCAATCTTCTCCTTTGCAGGCCGCCCAAGGAAGTTAAGCCCCCGAAATGCATACATAATAATCATCGAGGCTGCCGTTGCTGTTGCAGTTGTTGGTGTTGCTGTCTTGGCCAGAGCGTTGACACACATGCATGCCAAATGAGTTTCGGGGCCCGGGCCCGGCATTTGCCAAAAGATTTGGCCAAAGGAGGAGCCCAGCTGCACTAGATTTGAGTGAAATGTTGCTACTTCTGGGTGGCTTCCCCGGGCCCAGTAACTGCTGCTGGCAGGGCTCCTGCTCCTGCTCCTGCTCCTGCGCCAGCTCCTCCATCTTCATCTCCATTTCCATCTCACATCTCGCATC